CTTGGTGTTTTGACTAGCCTCTGAAATACATCCCTGGCCATATTTAGGCTTTTCACTGAGAGGATATCAAGGGTTCTCAGGTAAAGGAAAGACCTGAAGCCTTAGTAGCCACTTGGAACTGTCCTGTGTCTAGTACCTTGACAACAGAAAGTAAGTCAGATCTGGAAACGGTAGGATTTATAATTTAGAGGAAGGACGCAAACTTGCTAGTAAGGCAGGTGATGTGTAATCCTAGGTAGAGCTCATACTAGGTGATTTTGTTAAGTGCTTAGATATTGGCAAAAGTCATTCAGATATAATTGAGGTGGGCTAGCAAAAGTAAGACCATAACATTTTTGTGTATTGGTATGAGTTGAATTCTAATTATAGGCAAATGAATGTTGCAGGATAGCAAACAATGATCTGGAAAAAAGGATTTCCATTCAGCTAGTAAAAGCCACATTAGTAAAAAGCCACATTTTAATTATGTGTTGAAGTAATAGATGTCATACATCCTGTTTTTAAGACCTTGCTCATTCTACAATAATCACTTATTTTTCCTTAATAAAACTATATCATTTTTGTATGTGTAACAGCACCAGCGAAGAAGGCTTAATACTAAATAATATCTAATGAAAATTATTTTAATACACTATTGTTGTCTGTTAAATCTAATGTGTGTAGTATTGTATTTCTTTTATTTATTTGTTGGTTTTTACTGATACTGGGGCTTGTTCTCAGGGTCAGAATTTTGCTCAGAACTAGCATTTACCATTTGAGCTATGCCTGCAGTTCCAGCTCTTTGCTAGTTAATTGGAGATAATTGTATCATAGATTTATTTTCCCAGACTGCTTCCCAACTACAATCCTCAGGTCTCAACTTCCTGAATCACTAGGATTATAGGTGTGAGTCACTGGAGCCCTGCTTATTTTTTTATTACTTTTGACTAATGTGCATTTAATAATATTAGAAGCAAATACTACTGGGGAAAAAAGTATATCATTCTCAAGCCACATTATGGGCATTCTTTTGCTTACATTTATTACAGAAACTTCTCAAAATTAATATAGTATAATAACAATTAAATATTACATTTTTCCCTTATTATAGTTGTTTGGCAGAGCTGGAGATAAGGAACAGAGTCAATTGACCACAAAAGTGAGTGCATTTTCCTATCATTGGCTATGTGAGATCAACGGCATTTTCTCAAAGAAAACTCAATATGAAAATTCTGTGTAAATAGTATCTATAAAATAATCTTGAGTAAACTTGCTGCACTGTTGAAGGTACCAAAGTTTCTACATTTTGGAATATAAATAAAAGCTAATACACATATCAAACAAAACTTACATGTAAGTTTATGTATTCCCCATGATGAGTGCTAAAATCAATGTCTAACTGATACTAGAGTAAAATGTCTAATTGATACTACAATAAAAGTTACTAAAGAAACAGAGAAATATAGCACTCTGGTATTCCAAAGGGAAAAATCATTGTCTGAAATCCAAGTGTTTTTATATCTAGGTTTTGTTTTTATTTTTAGTCTTCTAATCCCATTATTTGAAAATTGAATAAATGTGTATTTTTCAGGTCATTTTGTTTCACCAGTTTCTTGCTCAATAGACTGTGGGCCCACCTGGCAGAAGTATCTACTCCTCTCTAAATGCAATTCCTCAGCCTCATAAATTTCACAGAACATTTATTTTAGTTTGTACTGCTTTCAGGAAAAAAAAAAAAAGGGCACTGGAAATGGGGCTTTCCACCACATGGCGTTTGGTTTCCTCCTTTGCTGGCTTTGTTTTCACATGCAAAAACTAAAGGGAAGTGCACTATCAGCCAGAATTCCGGAGTTTAGGTTACACACGCACACACAGGGTATCATTGATACCAGGTCATGATGCCCAGGTGTCACTACTACTTGGTAGGAGCTATGTCATACCCTGTAATGACTGCACCAAAAAAAAATACAACAAAATATATGACAAAAAAACAGCATATCCTGTCTCATGGCTTACAAGGTTTAGCATAGTAATCTGTATTTCCTTCACCTGCCTCTTGCCAAAGCATTAGCTGTAAAATAAAAAATAAATTACTTCTAAATTCATCCAGATGTATGGCCTCATATTTAGTAACCTAAACATATCTTTGAAAGAATATGTAACACGATAATGAACTACCAACTAAATTTAGTCCAATAACAAAGTCACACATCACTCTCTGACACAATCTAAGGGGATTCTATCTTTCTCTAAAAACTAAGTGTAGTAGGCAGAAGTAGTTCTTCAGAAGAAATAATAATTTTGTGATTTCATAAGGAATGAATGCTATTTTTCATAAATGGTTTCAGAATTTTTTGAAGACTTGTCTTGAACTTTGATTCTAGGACCCAGTGAAATATCAAAGGCAACGTAAGTTTCCATGAATGTAACTCAACCACCCTATGACAGCATACTCTTAGAAGTGAGTTGGTATGTTTGGCATACTCAAATCTCTTGTAGGGCTATGATTGTTAGGCCTGGAAACTTTGTATGAAATATCCATTACTTATTCCCACTGCTCTAAACACATAATCTGTCGCACAAAAAAAACAATAACAACAACGAACCAGGGCAAAGGACAGAGAAAAGGAAAGCCAAGCTTCAAATGAATGTAAAGGCCAAGATAACGGAATTCATTTATGATTTATAACTTCTTTTCAATAGCTGCTCTCACGTAATTTTCTCTGAAAATTTGAAAATCCACTGGACTCAGGGGCAAAATCCAGAAAAACAAAACAAAGCACAGCAGGCTGGTGCAAATTTTCATAGCTTGTAACAATAGTTCTTATTCAGTCCTGGTGTTTGAATATCTGAAGGAACTGTGATCTGGTTTTCATTACTCCCCATCTGGTGTTATTGCCTGCTTTGTTCAGCAATTTCTGGCCATTTTGGCCTGATGGTTACTGTTTTGTTTTATGTTGCTATATTACACAGAATGTAACTGTTGTAGCCACCACCCAAGAAAAGAATAAGCTTGAATAAAGAGATTTTGATGGAAGAGTTCCTGATGATCCCTCTAACTACAGAAGTGTTTGATTCAGCTTGACTACTGTCCACTTCTTACAAGGTGTAGGTGGGATGCAAGAACATATCTTTCAGAGGGTAAAATAGAATTACAGGTTCATATGTCAAGATTAATTCTGTTGCCTTTTCTCTTCCTTTCTAAGGAGAATAATGTCTGTACTTTCCCATATCTTGCTAACTACCAACTTATAGCTCATGACAAACGGATATCATATTACATGTTTAGAGATAAAAATATATGCGTCCTTGTCTCTGTAATGCTTGGTTCTAGTAGCATAGTCCTCATCTGGAGGCAAAGCTGCAAATGATTGAAAGGCTAGCATCTCAGTAAAAACCAAATCCAATTTATGCTCTCTAAGGACAATCTCACTCACTCACCACTTTTGGTAGTTATTTAAAAAACAACAACAAAAAAAAAACCACCTGAACTCTTTCACTTCTTTCTTAAGCAATAGTCATGAAGAAGATCTTTAGCTCTGCCTTATTTAAAAAAGCAATGTATGGCATCCTCCTTTAATTCTTTGCTATATTTGAAGTTATTTTCCCCAAACAAAGAAACAGTCATGAGTTACTAATCCATCCCAGAAAGAATAACCAAAATATAAACAAAACTAAAACCAGCGTTTTTTCTTCTTAAAGCTGTACTTTTTTTTTTTTTTGGTCCAGTTGTGGGGCTTGAACTCTGGGCCTGGGCGCTGTCCCTCAGCTCTTCAGCTCAAGGCTAGCACTCTACCACTTGAGCCACAGCGCCACCCCTGGCTTTTTTCTTATGTGGTGCTGAGGAATCGAACCCAGGGCCTCGGGCATGCAAGGCAAGCGCTCTACCACTGAGCTACCTTCCCAGCCCAAGCTGTACTTTTTTTGAAGAGACTACAGAACAGGTATGAGAAATAGTAAAATAATGATATCTCACTTATAGCATATACCTCAACAACAACAAAATTTAACTAAATACTGCCAGTTTTTTATACAAAAGCTACCAGGTATTGTCAATGATCCATGTATAACTTATCTAATCATTACAACACTCTACAAATCAGGCCTTATTATAATCACAGGTTCATAGAAGGCACAATGTATAACTGTCTGCAGTCACACAAGTGGTAAATAGATTAGACACAGCAGTATAGTTCGACTACCTTCAGCACCAGCTGATACTAACCCTCTGATACCAATCACTTTATTTTTCCATATAAAACTTGGCCAGGCTTAAAAATGTTCTTGACTTTTCCATATTTCTTGATTTTAGTATTATAATAATGAATAGATGAGGAATAACAAGTAACATGTACAAGAAGCATCCCAATATTCCAATGAGAATTCTGTCATGCAAGAGAGACCATATATATTCACAAATATTTAATATAACCTTTAAAAATGTGTAGCATTCTGAAACATGAAGAAACATTAGCCACAGATATAGTCAAACAACTTCTGAAATGCTTCAGGAGAAAAGAGCCTGACCTTAATAAAATACCAACCCTAAAATCCTGTGAGATATTTATAGCCAAAGCTTAGATATAATGGCACCATCAGTAAATTCATTCCTAGTCAACAAATGTTACTAGAGCTCCAAAGAACGGAGAAATTAAAACATGCTTTACATGGGAACGTTTTCCCCAGTGATCCTCATTTTTATATAGGAAATCAATTTGCATCACTGATAATATCATTCACATCAGACAACACAAAGTTGTTAGGAGGTAATTTAGTTTGCTGCTAAAGCAATTTGATACTTGTTCTGATTTGTGGTTTTCATTTTGTTTGTTAATGAAAAAAATTAATGAGCAATGTTACCAGAAATACAACTCATCAAAGCATTGGCATTATTAAAGAGGTTTGCCATATACCACACATTGGGATCATTGTGCAGCTGGGAGACCTCTTTTGCCAGGAAGACAATTGTGAATTAAATAGGATAGGCAAGGCCTTCAGGCCTGGTAGGCCCTCCCACATACCTTTACACTGATTTGTGTTTTTGTCAAGAATTGCCTTTGTGGATACAATTTTTCCATACCTGAAAGAGATAAAGAAAGAGAAAAAAGTCCATGTTATTATAACCCAACAGAAGTGTTTAACATGCATCTTTTATTATTATCATCTTTAAACAGTTGTACAAAAGGGGTTCGGAACAAGTCAGATTTATTATTATCATCTTTAAACAGTTGTACAAAAGGGGTTCGGAACAAGTCAGATTATGAGTCCAATGTATCTTGATTAACATCACCCTTTTCCTCATCTTTCAGCCCCACAAATGTTCTCAAGTTACAAGGTTCCATTTTCACATATGTACATTGAATATAATAACTGTTCTCTCTCTCTCTCTCTCTCTCTCTCTCTCTCTCTCTCTCTCTCTCTCTCTCTCTCTCTCTCTCTCTCCTTTTACCTCCTCCTCTATCCAAGAATCACCTCCCACAAAAACGTATTTCAACTTTGTGGTATTTATTTGTTAACGTATTTAAATGCATATAAGTGTACACAAAACTGAGCATGAAGCAGACATGCTGTTAGCTACCATTTGATACCTGGATGCTCTCTCATCAGTTCTTCTTTTTGAATTAGGAACATACTTCCTGACATAAGCACCAAGGGAAGGGGGCAGGGGGGGGCACCTTCACAGTTCACAGATCATCTATGAGCCTGTGTCATAGGATGCTGGAAGGGGATGGTATGTGATGGTAGCAGAAGTAAATATCAACCTATGGATTTGTGGAGATAAGTGTGAGCTTTGCTGCCACATTTCATGGAGTCTGTTCTCCATGCAGACAAATGCCTTTGCTATAACCTTGAACATTGCAGGCCACAGGAGTTTCTTCTGTAAAAATAAGCTATGCACAGAAACCTTATGGTTCAATCAACCTTTATGTGCTTCAGAAATCAGATGCAGAGCTTTAGAGTGCATAAGTTAAAAGAATAACAAACACCTCATCTTTTTTGGTTGGATGAGTCATATTCACTCTGTACATGATTTCATCATCCATAACGACATACACACTTACTTAAATCATGTCCTGGATCATTATTTATAAAGTGATGAAGATAATGTTACAGTTGTTATGAAGATTTACTCCAGTGTTTAGGACAGTGGCTGTTAAATAAGTGCTTACTAAGTTGAACTTTTCTTCTAATTGTTCTCTCTGACCTCTGGGAGGAATACAACAAACCCTCAAGTAGATTAGATGGATGGTTGCTAAAAGCAATATAAAGATAAAAGATTGTTATGAAGGGAAAAGGTAAGTGCCTGGCACTAGTAATCCTAGCTACTCAGGAGGCTAAAATCTAAGAATCATGGTTCAAAACCAACACAGGCAGAAAAGTCCATGAGACTCTTAGCCTTAATTACCTAAAAAAAGATGGAAGTGGAGGTGTGGCTTAAGTGGTAGAGCAACAATCTTGAACAAAAAAGCCAAGTATGAGTGTGAAGCCTGGAGTTCAGTAACCAGTACCAGCATATGCATGCGCATGCGCACGCACACACACACAAACACACACACACACACACACACAGAGGCACAGGCACACACACAGGCACACACATGCACTCATGCACACACACAAATAATAATTTACTTAAAAATTAAAGAGATGAATGTTACCTATTACACTATATCTTAAATTTGTAATTTACACTCTTATTTTCAGTGTAAAGATTTCAGGAACTATTTCTAATAAGCTCATTCTTACCAAACCCCACAAAGTGCTTTCTTATTCCCTCAAAATAACCTCCATGCTTCTCTTTCAGATTTTATTTCATCTCAAGACAGTCTTGGGCAAACAGCCAGTAAAATCATCTCCTACTTAAACCTTCTGTTTACAATAATACCAATTAGCTAGATGTCATGTTTATTAGCTTTGGTATATTCAAGCAAATCAACATTTAAAATGGATACAGATAGCAAAGAAGACAAGGACATTTTGTAAATTTTTTATTCCATTTAGTGTGTGAGAGTTTAAAACAAAACAAAACAAAACAAAAAAAACAACGAACAGAACTCAACAACACAGACCAGGGACAAAAATCCTTAACCTCTCCCCCCCCCCTCCCGCCCCTCCCTTCCCCCCCTTCCCACCAACTTTCCCCTGCTCCTTTTTTATTGTTATTATAAAGGTGATATACAGAAGTCTCCAGCACTGTTCATTGGCTGAGCAAGTACCCAAGCCATTTTGGAAAAAGCATTTTAGTGAGAACACTCAGCATTATGAAAAGAAGCATTTGGACAGGAGCCTGAGCCACTATGAGAACAAGAAGCTCCATGATTGGTCCCATCTTATGTGATTCAGCATTTTAGTGAGGCCTGCCACCTTTGATTTCTGTCACCTATCTGTTCACTTTTCTCTCTTTTAGTTTCATGCAGCAAAATTTGTTATAATACCACTCAAGAGCTCAGCAGAGGGAGTTTAAAGTTCTTTATTATGAACTGTTTTATTTATTTATTTATTTATTTATTCATTTATTTTTGTAGGTCCTGGGGCTTGAACTCTGGACCTGGGCGCTGACCCTCAGCTCTTCAGCTCAAGGCAAGCGCTCTACCACTTGAGCCACAGTGCCACTTCTGGTTTTGCTGGGGTTTATTGGAGATAAGAGTTGCATGGACTTTCCTGCCCAGCCTGGCTTTGAACAGTGATCCCCCAATCTCAGCCTCCTGAGTAGCTAGGATTACAGGCCTGAGCTCCTGGCACCCAGCTATGAACTGTTTTATAAAATTATATTAAGTTTCCAAAGAGAAAGAAAAACTTTGAGGCATAACACTTATGAGACATTTCATAAGTATAACAACTACTGCAAGCTTTTTAGTAGATATACAAGTTTTACTATTGAAAGGATTATTTAATGCAATGAAGTCAAAAGCATATTCCTCAGAGAGATTGTCGACAAAATTGAGTGTCTTGAACTGTCAGTGAAATATTTCTGAGTTTCATAACATTTAAAAACACACTTCTGTGATTAAATTGCAGGAGAATGCAACTGCTTCATTTAAAAGAGTCGGGATTCACAAAAGTAAAACAGATAAAGCCATATAATCTAGAAAGAAGTAGTTTCCTGAAGGTAATTTTCATTTCTTTTAAAGCTCACATGTACAAAAAGCAGAAGAAATGAAATTAAGTCTAAGTTTAAAATAATACATTTTCCCATAATTACAAAAATATATAAAACAAAATATCCATGTGGAAGAGAGGCTAGACTTTTTGTTTTTCAACACATTGACATCTTTGTATTAAATTTTGAGAAGCATGTTGCATAAAGCTGTTCTGTGTCACCTCAAAAGATCAATAGTTGTGGAACTATACCAGGAAGCCCATTGACCAGTGTATATTCAAGTAACTAATAATAATATAAATCATTGATGCAGTCCAACTACTTCTGTGAAAATTATGGGCTTTAGAGACTGCATTATATGCAGAACATTTAAAATTATATGTAAAATACATGTAACTCCCTAATTAACTATATAAAAGTATATGTTAAGCAATCTTGCTCAAAAACAAGCTTACAATCCAGGGGTAGGTTGCTCTTTTCTGTTGTTCTAGCTATTTAGGAAAATGAGTTCTGAGGATTGAGGTTCAAAAGTCAGCCCTGGAAGAAAAGTCTGTGAGATTCTTAGATCCAGTTAACCAGCAAAAAACCAGAATGGGAGCCGGGACTCAAATGGCAGAGTGCTAGACTAAAAGCTAAAGGACAATGCCTAGGCTATGAGTTCAATCCCTGTACACACACACACACACACACACACACACACACACACACACACACACACACACACACACGGGACTGTGTGTGCTTGTAAAAAAACACTAGTTGTTGGGATTCCAATAATTTGGTTTGTTAGGACAATCCAGAGGCAGATTTTAAAATTTATGTATTGGTATCTTAACTCCTCTATCAGTTACTTCACATTTCTTTGTCTTAATCTTCCCCAGTAGTGCTGCAGGTGTAAAAACAAACCACCTAGTACATTCCTTTCATTCTACAGGGCATTTTGCATGACAAAGAACACTTCCAGACACTTAAGTTTTTGCCACTCTGGAGAAAAAATGTATCTGTTCCCCATATACCAGAAAGAATAGAATGTCTACTTACATAATTCATTTTTATAACACATTTTTAATGTATTAATTTCCACCACAAAGTTTCACATGATTGTCTGCACATAAGATGGTATCTATTCTCATATCACCCAAAGCCTTGTTTTTCCAACTTTATTGAAACACCTATGACTGAATCTTTGTTTTATGTGCAGACCAGTAATACTTTTGGGAAGATGCCATGGCTATTGCTTATTTGTAGTGGAGACCATCTACACATAGTAGAAGTATAACATTCTTACTATTGGTAATGCTCCTCTAGGACAGATGAGACCAGCTGTTCTTAACTGGTTATAATAAGCTAATCATTAACTCGCAATGCTCTACTCTTGATTAATTATCTTTCTTTTTTTGTATTTAATTGTGCCTTAAGAGTCCACTGTAGATACCATTGTTCACACAATAATAAACTCTTTGTTATCATATGCTCAGTTGGATTGCAGTATCATCTCAGGAAAAGATAATCCAAGAATATGTTTTATATTTTAATAGTCCTTTAGTCCTGCATGGTGCTTACATCTTACTAACAACAGTCAAGGGAGACACTGTAAAAGCCTGATTTCTTTTTCTAGTCTTTCTATTTCCATCATATCCATAAATCTAACAAAATTTGATTACCACAAGATTCTTAGAATTTCCCTTGCTATAATGTAATTCTATCAACATCCAATTTTCTTCCTGATTTCCTACCTCCCTACCTATAACTCCCTTTGCCTAAAGTCAGGTTTTTGTTGTTTTTCTCGGTCAGATACAGTTTACTCTCCATTTCTTTTGCCCTGTATTCAGAGCCACCTCTGCCCCAGGATGCCCAGGAGTACCTCCATCTCAGATCAGTACCGACTGCTGGTGGAATCTTGACAGTTACTTGAGAAGATAGACCATGCTTTCCTACTGCCCTGTCTTGAATAGTAGAGACTCAGAAGGCCAAAGTGG